AGAAAGCATGGCCTTTATTTTAAAATGTCTTTCAACTCTGTCTTCTTTCTGATACCATAACCCCCTTTTTTCTCCCTACTGGCATGTGTTCATCTTGTTCATGTCAAATGAATAATTTGAAATAGAAATTTTAATTTGTACATCACTGTTGTTCATGGATAAAATGAAGGTTCTAATTTGCTGGTCTGCTGAATACCAATTCTCTCTCTCTCAAACACATATACACACTCCTTCACTGGTACCCACATAAACTGCATTGATTATCATTTATAATATTTGCAGAACAACTAACATTGGAAAGCATTTTCATAAACCTATTGTATCCCATTTAGTCCCCACCCCCACCAAACATCTGTAGGTAGTTCTCATGCCCCCTTTCATCTGAGAAAGCTGGTGCCCACAAAGTTTCAGTGACTTGACCCCACACTGTCTTACTTTTGGCCTGGTGCTCTTCTACTATACTTGTGGGGCTGATAAAATCAACTACCTGAAATGGTTATTTTGAAGATTACATAAGATAATGCACATGGAGCACTTAACACAGGGTCTGGGAAAACAGTAGCTATACTTACAGACATCCTAGAAGAAACACATACCACACCAGGTACCTTTGTCTACCCCTTTCCACAGTCTGTTTGGATAGATATATTCCCATGGACACATTTCTCAAAAGTTCTTTCATCTTAATAAGCCTTAAAATAGTACTACTTTCTAAAGCCAAATGCATACTGTATACGTTTAACACAGGATTTGTGTGTCAATAACTTCCAAAAACAGACAAGATGGTTATCTCTAGTTCCTAGAATAAAAATCCATGTTAAAAGTATGACACTAAAAACAGAAGTACAAACTTCTGTAAAACTCACTATATTTTTTGATTATTGTACCTCAGTTAAATTCTGACAATTTGAAGTTTTTATATTTGTGTAAGAAAATTGTTCACAATACTTGTCTTAGGTTAGGTTGCTCAGGAAGCAGACTGAAATAGAGATTAGTGTGTACGAAGTGTATTGGGAAGTGCCCTGGGGTCAATATCTGTGAGGGGTGAGGAAGGCAGGATTGAGAACAGAGGATTTTGCAGCTGCAACAGAACCTCAGCCTGAAGCTGAAATGTCCATTCAGAGTTGATCTACATGGGTCTTTCTATGCACTCATCAACCTGTCATTGTCTGTAGGTTCTCTTTGTCTAAAAGCATGTCCCTAAATATAACTTGGCTGAGACCCATGAGCCACTAACATGCTCAGCAACTAAGAGTGAGGAATGAGACACGGTCCTGAAGCTGGTGTCTATGCAACACATCACAGCATCTATGACAAAACAGCATCGGCTACAATTCTCTTTCTGCATCTCTCCCGTGTGCTTATCTATTCTTGATGCTTTCTTGACCTCATTATAGGAGAGATAACAAGCATAATGATGCCTATTGAATGTTTTTATTTTTGATTTCTCATAGTGATTTACCATTATTTCTTTTATCTCTTTGCCTTTAAAGATACTAGGATTAGGAGTTATAAAAATCACCTAGCTTAATTTGCTTTCAACTAATGATCATAATTTGGGCTAAGGCCAACAATTCTGGCAGGAAACAAATGGCACACTCAAATGGAAATAATCAAGGAGAATTTAATGAAGGCAGTATTTAGAAATGTATGAATAAAAAGTTAGAGAAACTAACAATGAATGATGAAATCATTGTTTGACAGGAGCGAAAAGCCATCACTGCCCCTAAGCTTGAAAGGCAAGGAGAAGGGTAGGTCAAGAAAACTGAAAAAAGTAGTCTGACAAGAGCCAGGCCCTTTGGAAGAAGAGGGAGCTGAGTAAATAAATGCTCTAGTCTCACACTTCTGCCACCCTCTAATCTCCTGTTGGTGCCATCCAATGGCTGAACACAACCTGAGTGCTTCAGGTAAGACAGTCTGTGGATGAAGTCGATGGAGGTCAGTCAGCTTTCTAGGCAGAGTAGATCTGGAGCAGAAAATTGAAGGTCTTCCTTTATGGCCTGTGCCATTTCCAGTGCCATTCAAGTTTTTAACATCCATGTCAATTTTTGAAGCTTTTTTCTATAGAGTCAACTCTAATACATATCATTCTTAATTGCTTCCATGCTTGTCTCCTACAAACCCTTTCCACCCAGTAATTGGAATATTATTTTTAAAATACAATTCTCTTCTACCTACTTGCTGAAAAAAGTGCCCAATAACTACCAACTGCTTTTAAAGACAAAGGCCAATCATTTGAACATGACTCACAAGATTCCTGGTCTGATCCTGTGTACCTCTGATACAGCCTCATTCTCTGTCAGCCACCCCCTTGTGTACGTTTTTCATATTCTTGAACAATTTATCCTCCCTTTACCTCCCCTTCTACTGTTCCCTCTCTGTAGAATACACTGGGCCTAGTTAACCTCTTCTGGTCCTTCATACCTTCACTCTGACATCTACTTCTTCAGGGAAACCATTTTGTCTCTTCCTTTTCAAGACCTCCTGGCCATGCTCTTATAATACCCTTTCCTTTTTTTTATCATACCACTTTTCTAAATTTAAAAATTTATGGAACTGTTTCCTGTGTATTTTCCCTTAGACTGTACATTCTAGGAGGGCAGAATCTAGCCACAATGTCTTCTGGCACATGGTAGGTACTCAGGAAATATTTATTGAATGAGTATATGAATGAATATCTGAATGAATGAGTAAATGGTGCCGGATGGACAATTTCCCAAACTAGACAGCTCACTCGTGCTTAAAGGAACAGCTGTAAAGAGTCTGTGTAGATCACCGGCTCAATGTTGCAAAAAGATTATATGAGACCAGTGTTGCCAGAACTTTCTATGTTATAACTGAAATAAAAAAGAACCTTGATAAAAAATTTCTTGATTTTCAAATGTTGGTGACTAATTCCAACTTGTCTTAAAATACAAATGAAAACACTCCAATGAAAACACTGTATGAGCTGAATTCAACCAGGGCCTTCTGTTTTAATTTTTGGGATAGTCAGCTTCAAGAAAGTAAAACTTCACATCAGAGGTTCACTGTTTAGTATGTTAACCCAAAACATTTTTCTTCTGATGTTTTTATGTCTGGTTTAACTCTAATTTATTTGTAATCAATTAAGGGTCTACTCTAGCTTTCACGTAATCATAATAAATCAAGATATTTTAAAGGAATAATTAGAGGCAGAAGACAAGATCTATGGAGTAGTCAAACACTCCTACTAAAAATATGAATTTGTAAACATTGGATCATCTGGCCTTTCTAATAATTACTTACAGAAAATGCATTAATTAAAATGAGTAGTGTTGTTTTATAGTAGCAAATTATTTTTTCATGGACATAAAAGTTTGCTTGAAGACAAATTGTACCAGGAGAAAACATTTCTGTTTCTGTGGACTTCATCAGTCATTTTGGCCCTTTTCCTAGTATGTCTGTTCATTATGCACTTACCAAAAACTTATGTAGAGCAAGTACTGAAGACAATAAATTGAGGGAAATTGGGGGGCAATTATACCATGAAAAAATAAAATTATCAAGGAAATGATCTGAACTGCACATAGCATGCTTTCAGGAACATGGCATAGATTTTTGAATACTCTCATGAAAAGGGATTGGTTTGAGCTCTTGTTCAATCCAGTGAGTGTTCTGTTGCAAAGGGAAATATCCTTACCACTTTAATCCCCAGTTTTCTGAAGAGTGGTGGAGATATCTTGCCATTTTTGGCTTTATATTTCCAAAAGCTGTGTGTTATCTCTCCCATTTTTACATTGCTTAGATTGAAAACCATATTTAAACTACTGATATTAAGTGCTATCAATATCAAATGTCTTTCAAGCTCCTCCTTTTGGAAAGCTTGTGTGACTTGTCATAGATGATATTTTCCAAGTGAAGAGGTATGTGGCTTAACGAGATTACATATCATGGGCATATTTTTTTCCAACTATCTTTGCTAATGTTCAGACACTAAACATGAAGCCACATAGTAATTAGATCTTCACTAAATTGAAAATATCCTGACTATACTGGTTATATTAACGAATCATTTATAAACTCTCATTTCATTCTCCTAAATAGAAAGTTTCATCCTTAAGCTGAAAGTGGACTCTGTCCTTTGAAACTTGGAAGCAAATTTTGAAGAAAAATATGTATTTTCTTTCAAATGGAATATGTCATTACAACGAGTACTTTTATAATAGACTTGATTTTATAGTGTCCTGGTCAAGCATCACATACATAACAATATATGTATCTTTTTGATGTAGTCATCTGTAACTGAGACCAGTGCTTTCTAGATACTTTCATGTCATGACATATACAGAATGCATGTACAAGATACCAGAAGCTGCTTATGGTCTTAGAAGGTGGGGGCTGCCAACCAGAAACCCTGAAGTTTATAGGGATTAATATCACTGCATACTTTTAATCTATTCAGGGCACACTAGTTGTGAAGTTCTAACTAGGACCACCTACCTTTATTAATATTGTGTTTATACATCAATTTTATGTAGCCAAAAGCAATAATCAAAATATTTTTAATATTTTAGTTATTTCCAATAAGCAACTTTTCTATTAGCTTACTAAACACAACCTTTCTCACTATCATCCCTGAGACTATATTTTCTATGTGAGTAGAAATCTTTTAAAGTAAATATTTATTTTTCATATGTATAGCAATTTTAGGGCCCCCTTCAAGATGCAAAATGCAATCTCAAACCATTTGGTGTTTGTCATTTTATGGAGATTCTCATTTGGTAAGTGACAAGTTTTCTCTTCTTAAATAAACAGGTTTATGACATTCAGGGTAAGGTAAATAACAGGTGCTTTTTAGATGATATTTTTGAATTTTATCTTAATAATCCATAATGTATCCACTGAAGATGGGTGAGGAAGGTGAAAATAAAAAAGAATGTCTAGCATTAAATGACTCTGTTATTACAAAATTGACTCAAAATCAGTACTTTTTAATAGCTAAGTGCATTTTTTTGAATAGATGTTTGATTCTCTTCCTAAAGGTTGCTCTTTTTCTCTGCTCCCTCTCCACTGTCAATGTGCTGATGGACAGATGAGATTAAATGGCATCCTCCTGACTCTCCATCTCTGTAAGTTTCATTCCCTTTAACATCAGTGCTTCGGGCTGTTGTTTCTCCCCATTGCCCTCCCCCCTTTCCACTCTGGAACATTTTCTCTCATGAAGTATGTTGGTTTAAGTACATCCTCTAAGAAGACAGATGTTCTTAGTATAGTGCCTTTTTTTTTTGTAATCACCAACCCATCTTCTTTTCCCATTTCCTATTTCATGGAAAAAATATTGGCATTAATATCAGCCATGGGTCATGGGATTTGAGATGTTTCCTATATCTCAAAGCTTGTGGTAATTGCAGATGCAATACTCTTTGAATACCAAAGATGTAACCATGCATATTTTCAAAGATGATTCCATACTTCTGAGAGCTCAAGGAAGCAGAAAATATAAAGGATCTCCTAATTTTGCACTATATTAGGTAATCAAAAAAATAATATTATAGTGTTAATGCTGGAGAATGCTTATACTCAATTACTCAGCAGAAATTTATAAGAAAGTAGAAATATAAAAGCAGTCATATACCACCTTCTTCACCTACTTTTTTAGCCTTAACTCTATTATGAGGTGAATATGAGATAAATGTTAGGTGCCAGAAACCACGGCAGAAGCTAGAGAAGAAAAACTGGAATATCAGGAAATGTATTCAGTAGTTTCTGCTTGATAATCATGATTAACTTCCCATGTTAATTCATCAGAGTAACCTGAAATCTTGAGCCCAGGTTACTTCATACTTTGGTTATAGGAACACTAGCTAAAAGCCATCACCAGTATTTCATACGCATTTTTTTCCAAGCAAATTATGACTTTTCACCTATTCAAATTGGTAATATTAATCAGTATTTTATAAGATTCAAGAATCAATTCTTAAACATTCTATCAGCATCCCAAGTAACCAATCTCTTCTTATTCATACCTGGATACTAATAAAACAAACCTCCTAGGATGGCTGTCTTCCCCTGGCTCCTTCAAGTCTTCTGTGTACCTTTTTTTTTTACCTGGTCTTCTGTTCCAAAAGGCTGACGTGAGCGTCCTTGTCCTCTGGCTTCTTTCATGTTTAAATTAACCATTGGGAACCCTAAAAGGAAATTGGAGGGGGAGAAGAAAGAGGTCTGGATATTTATTATTCTTCCTTTGGGGTTAACTTAACCTGCATTTTTTTCTTAACTGCTCTCGCAGTAGACGTCTCTTCATGACCATCACCTTCCAGATGGTGGTAACTTCTCTCTCCATCTTTGCAGGCCTGGATATGGTGACAACTGTGCTGCTATTAACACCTTATTCTTGCAATATCATTTTTGTAAATAGTTTTCTGTAAATAGTTTTTTCAAATAAACAGTTTCTGTAAAATAACACCTCCTCTAAGTTTTCTTAATTTGAGTATGCTCTTTGTTTCCTATTGAAATTTATCATAGATTTGTGCTTATTATTGGGTGTTGTATATGGCTTGTATTTAATGTCATTAAATATGGTCATCTTAGCAATATAGATTTTGTAAAAGATTAGCATAGTTTTGCCACTCTGAGAATCATTAAATTATAGACCAGCCATAAAATACTTAGGACTAAACTTAACTGAAAGATAAGCAAAAGTTTGAAGGAATTTGAGAACAAAAAAACAAAACTTTAAAAAAGTTTGTTATTGCCTCCTAATTTTGGAAAAAATCACTAGGCACAGGCTGGATCTTCACAAAGAATATTAACATTTCTTATTAGAAGAAATCATAGTGAAATGGAAATGACTTTAACCAGAGACGGAAGAGGAATTTATAGCGAAGAAAGCATGCACTCTAATGAGACCATAGAAGAATCATAAATCCCGCTCAAATCTGGCCAGTGTGGATTTGAACAACAGGGTTTAAAATTTTTTTTATAATGAGAACTTTTGCTTCCATAAAGATGAAATAGCTGAATTTTTTGTATTATTCCCTATAAGCACAGTTTAAAAACACTAGACATTATAGATTAAACAAAAATAAGAAGACTGAAAGAAGGAAAAAAGAAGGATAATCAGCTAGGAACCTTGGAAACCATGAATAACATCGTGATAAGTTTCAGAGTTTTTGTTTTGGGCTCATAGATCCCAGGTTTGGAGATGAAGAAGCAAGCAATATAGATATGTCAATGGGTGAAATAAAGCAAGGTCTGTTTCATCAAAAGCTTGCTCTCTTTAGTTGAAAGACCAAGAAAGAAGAAGCCATAAAAGACAAAAATACTTTCAGAAAGTACTGCTCTACATTAGCCATACACTATAGAAAAACTGCACCCTTATCCTTATCTGGGATAAAAAGATGCCCTTCCCTTTTCCCTCTGGGTGGTGAGCAGCCCCTCAACACCAAATATCAAGAGCCTGCACTTCTACCCTCACCTGGCAAGAATGAGATAGCATTCCCTTCCCTTGCTAGAGTAGTATCATAGGAGGCCTACGGAAACAGAAGATTTAAATAAGATGCATATCTTACAACATAATATACAAAATGTCAAGCTTTTAATTAAAAATTAATTTATACCAGGAACCACGAATATTCTAACAATGAGAAAAGACTACACCAAAATGACAAAAATGTGAAAATTACCTAACGAAGATTTTACAGCAGTTATCATAAAAATGCTTCATTGAGCTCTTATGAACTCACCTGAAATATAAGAGAAAAATAGAAAGTGTTAGCAAAGAAATAAAGGATATAAAGAAGAACAAAATAGAAATTCTAGAATAAAAGTAAAAAAACTAAATGAATAGGCTTAACAACAGAATGGAGAGGATAAAAGAAGGAATCAATGAACTTGAAGAAAGAATAATAGAAATACCCAATTTGAACAACACAAAAAGGAAAGTATATATGTAAAACTCAGCGACTTGGGAAACTACTTAAAAAACATCTAACATTCATGTCTTTGGAGTCCAAGATGAGAGGTGAAAGAGAATGGACAGGGTTGGGGGCCTGGAAATTTTAAAAGAAAATAGCTAATTTTTTTTTTTAATTTTGCAAAACATATACACCGACAGATTCAAGAGACTGAGTAAATCCTAAACAGGATAAACATAAGTTTATTCAAGCCAAAATATATCATAATTAAACTTGCAAAAATTAAAGACAAAGGAAAAATCTTGAAGGCAGAAAAAAAAAATGATGCATTAACTATAGAAGAAAAAAATCATATGACAGCCGATTTCTCACCGGAAATAATGAAAGTCAGAAGTAAGTGGCACATATTTTTTAAGTGCTAAAAAAAGTCCATCCAATGAAAATATCCTTTAAAAATGAAGAGGAAACCAAGACATTCTCAGATAAATGAAGACTATGACAATTTGCTGCCAGCAGACCTATTCTAATAGAATGGCTAAAGGAAAATTTGTAAGCAAATAGGGAAGGATAAAAGAAAATTCTTAGAATATCAGGAAGAGAGAACAATGGACAAGCAAGACATAATGCATCTTTCTCTTTGTCTTACATTTTCTAAATTATACTTGACAATTTAAGCAAAAATTATAACTATCTAATATGGATTTCAATGTCTGTAGAAGACACATATTTAAGAGAATTCTATTCTAAATAAGGTAGATAAGATGTAAAAGGAGATAAGATTTCTATGCTTCGTTCAAACTGGTAAAATGATGACATCAGTAGACTGTGATAGGTTATGTAATAACATTATAATGTAATACCTAAAACAGCCACTAGAACTATACGCATGAAGAGGTACTCTAAAAAGTTGTTATAACTCAAAATAGAATTCTAAAAAATATTCAAGTAACTCGTAGGAATACATTAAAAAGAAAAGAGAGAAATTAAAAAAGAGAAAACTCAAAATACAAAACAAGAAATGGCAGGCTTAAGATGTAATGCATTAATAATTACATTAAATACAAAGGGCCTAAGTATATCAATTAAAAGACAGAGATTGGCAGAGTGGATTAGAAAACATAACTCAACTACATTATATCTACAAGAAACTCACTTTAATTATTATAGTATATGTAGGTTGAACGTAAAAAGATGAATAGAGATTGACTATGCGAACATTAATCATACCATACACAAATTACCTCAAAATGGATCTTAGTTCTAAATAAAAGAAGTAAAACTATAAAAATCTTAGAAAACAACATAAGAGTAAATCTTTGTGCCCTGGACAATGGTTTCTTATGTATGATACCTATAGCAAAATGACAGAAGAAAAATAGATAAATTGTATTTCATCAAAATGAAAAACTTTTTTGCTTCAAAGGACACCATCAAGAAAGTGAAAAGACAATCCACAAATTGGGAGAAATATTCGCAAATCATGTATGTGATAAAGGAGTTTTATCCAGAATACATAAAGGACTCTTACAACTCAACAAATAACCCAGTTAAAAAACAAGTAAAGGATCTGAATAAACAATTCTCCAAATAAGTTATGCTATTGGCCGAAAAAAACATGCAGATACTAAACATCATTAGTCATTAGAAAAATGCAATCAAATCCACAATGAAATACACTTCACACTCACTAGGATACCTCAGTCAAAACAACAGACAATAACAAATGTTAATGAGGATGTGGAAAATGGGAATTCTTACACATAACTGGTGAGATTGTAAAATGATAAACCACTTTAGAAAACAGTTTGGCAGTTTCTCAAAATGTTTAAAATAGAGTTCCAAACCTATGTATATTCCCAAGAGAAATGAAGACATATGTCTATACAAAAACTTGTTCATTAATGTTCAAAGTAATATTATTAACAAAATCTAAAAGGAGCAAATAACCCAAATATCCAACAACTGGTGACTAGATAAATAAAAGTGGTATATCCATATAATGAAATATTATTTAACCAATAAAAAGAAATGCAGTATTGATGCTTGATACAACATGGAGGAACTTTGAAAACATAGTTCGAAATGAAAAAATTCAGTCACAAAAGCCATGTATTGTTTGATTACATTGATGTGAAATGTTTAGAATAGGCAAATCCATAGACAGCAAATAGTTTAGTGTTGCCAGGGGTTCAATAGAGGAAGAGATGGCTATGAGGCTTCTTTTCGGTGATAAAATGTACCAAAATTAGATAGTAGTGATGGTCATACAACTCTGTGATTATACTAAAACCACTGCACTGTACAACACAAAGGAGTGAATTTTATGGTATCTGAATTACATAGCAATGAAGCTGTTATTTATAAAGTGTAAAGAAGAAAGAGGAAAATAAAGCAGGAGTGGTTATATTAATATCAGATAAAGTAAACTTTGGACCAAAGAAAATTACTAGAGACAAAGAGGAGGAATTATGTATAATATAAGTATCAACCTGCTAAGAAAACAGAGTTATTATAAATGTGTATGCATGAAACAGCACAGTCACAAAATATATGAAGAAAAACTGATAGAACCGAAAGCAGAAATAGGCAAAATTGCAATTGTACTTGAAGATTTTAACACCCATCTCTGAACAGCTGTACAGAAAATCAACAAGTAGATATCATCAACACCATCAACCAACAGTATCTAATCAACACATATAGAGCACTCCTCCCACTCACTGCAGAATACACAATCTGTTCCAGAATTCATAGAACATATACCAACATAGACCATAATCTGAGCCATAAAACAAAACTTAACAAATTTAAAAGAATTAAAATCATGTAGACTGTGTTCTTAAGCTAGAAATGAAAAACAGAAAGATAAAAGGAAAATCTCCAAATGCTTGAAAACTAAACAACAGATTTCTAAATTACTCATGGGATTAGAAAAAATTAAATACTTCAAATTGATAATTTAGTGTTTCACCTTAGAAAACTAAAAATAAAAGCAAATTAAAGCCAAAGGAAGGAAATAATAAATATAAGCACAGAGATTAATCAAATTAAAACCAAAAAACAATAGATAAAATCAATGAAACAAGTAAAATGTCTTTTAGTAGGTGAATGATTAAACAAAATGTTGTGCATCTATATCATGAAATACCATTCAGCAATAAAAAGGAACATTTATTGATAAATATAATGCCTTGGATAGAACTCAAGAATGTTATGCTAAGTGATAAAGTCCCACCTCAATAAGTCATATTGTATGATTCCATTTATGCAGGATTCTTAAAATGACAAAATTATAAAGATGGAAAACAGATTAGTGTTTGCCAGGTGTTAGGGGTGGTTGAAAAGTGTGTGATTATAAAGTGGTAATATAAGGGGATTCTTTATGGTTATCAACAGTTCTGTTTCTTGATTGTGACCACGGTTACACAAAACTACACGTGATAAAATGGTATAGAACTATACATAAACATTTTATCAATATCATTTTTTGTTTTGATATAATATTATAATTATATAAGATATCACCACTGGGGAAACTGTGTATAGG